AACAAATATTATTGCTTTGCATATGAAGTCCTCCCGCCAGAACGCATCGTACATCGGCTCCCCATACCTCCATAGCCTCTCCATTTCTTGCATCAGAGGCTCCAAGAACACGTCTATATCAATGCCTGGTTGTTTGGGGCCAGAGATAAGAATGGTGAGGAGAAGGTACTTCCTCTTCTGACACAAATACATTGGGAGGTTGTACATGGTCAAGATGACTGGCCATGTGCTGTGGTTGGTCATCCTCTCATTGAAGGGATTCATTCCATCGGTGCTCAAGCTGAACCGTACATTCCGTGGGTCATCACTGAATTTTGCTCATCATCCCACCATGTCATCAGTGTGGCTTTCTTAGGGTTTAGGAACATACGCCTCAAGCAGTCGGTCACTGGCAAGTACCACATAACCAGGGCAGGAATTCTTCTCTTATTTGCATCGTTGCCTAATGGAGTTTCCTCTAGGGGCTGAGATTCTTGCACCACCTTCTTCCCACCCTTCTTCCTCTTTCCTGTGGAGGCTTCCACCCCACTTTGAAGGTCATTGTTCTTGTACCGACTAGCCCCACACCTAGGACATGTATCTAAAGTCTCGAACGATGTGCCACACCGAAAAAGGATACAGTGGTTGGGGCATACATGGATTTTTTCAACCCCTAATATGAGTGGACTTATAACCTTCTTCGCTTGGTATGTGTTGGCGGGAACTGTGTTCGGCCGTGAGAGCAACCGTGACATGAGGCACAACAGATCATCGAAACTGCAGTCCGACCAGCCATACTTAGCCTTCAGGATGAGTAGCTCAAGCACAAAATGTAGCAGTGTGAAGTATGTCGGACAGCCCTTCTCAGCATCATACACAGTCTTCTTCGATGCTTTTGTCACCCTCTCAAGATTTTCTAGACCTCTCTTGCTCTTTTCTAATATTTCTGGTCCAAAGGCCCCAAGCATTTCGTCCAAGTTGTCACCGTCATCTGCATCCCCCTCACGTGCTTCGCCATCATTGCTGGCACCACCAGCATCATCACCACCTTGTTGATTGCCAAAGCCACCACCTTGTTGATTGCCATAGTCATGATCCATTTGTTGCTTAAGATTGTCTGTGAATCGGGACATGTATGCTTGGGTTTCAGCTTCATCGGCTAGATCATCGTCGCTGTCATCAACAACCACTGTTTCACCATGATGAATCCACACTGTGCAATCCGGAACAAATCCTCTCCTAATCAGATGTTCTTTGATGGTACTCACATCTCAAAATGCAATAAGGTTCTTGCAATCTTTGCAGGGACAAATAATCGTGTCACTATTCTCTTTCAACGTCGCTGCATGCTTCTCTGCGGCTTTGATGAATTTGTCTACCTCATTACGGAAAAGAGCGTCATGTCTTAACGAACCATACATCCAAGAGTTCTTGTAGTCCATCTTATAGAAACAAAACAACCAAAGAAAGAATATTACTCGAGAATAATTGTATATACCTAAGACACGCTACAAAGTATTAGAGGATAGTTAATTAATTGACTATTAATGCATAAATATTTTAAAATATAAATTAATTGGTTCAAATAAACAATTTCAAAGAAAACAATTAGCAACATTTAATATTTCATCCACTACCTTTCATGCAAACTCTATTCCAATTTCATGGTAGAGGATAATTAATTAATGGCCTATTTATCCATAACTAATTAAAAACACATTATAGAAAGGAATCAAAATAAATATTAAATTATAATTAGTAGCCATGGTAGAGGATATTTTACACATTAGCAACAATTAAAATCTTACACATTCACCTATATGCAAACCCTAGTCACATAAAGAAAAAATTGAAAAAGAAAAAAACAAAATCCTAGATCTAGATCTAGATATAGGGTTTCATGACACATGCACCAAACTTCACTAATACTACACTAAAATCAACAAAGATGTACTAACAAAGGGTGCAATCTTACTTTTCTACCTAATTTACCCTAGTATAGTGAAAATTAGGGTCCAATTTCACTCATAACTAGCTCAAGCTCCATGGAAGAGAGAGAAAACCAAAAATCAAATTACTCATTAACCAACAAATTAAACTTCAAATAAAGAGTTGGAGAAGCATTTCCTTACCTTTTAGAGCCTCTCCACCAAAGGATTTGAGATAAAAACCTCCTCCCTTAATAGAGCAATTTTTAGGAGGAGCCAAAGGCCTTCCAACCTTTTTTTCGTAGAACAGTGTGTCTCGAGGTGGAAGAAGGGGTGGCTACTATTTATTCGTGCGCCATTAGTAGGGGCGGCTGGTGATTCAGCCGCCCCTACAGTCGAACATCAGGGGCGGCTGGTGGCAGCCGCCCCTACAAATGGGCACTGTAGGGGCGGCTGGTGATTGAGCCGCCCCTACAGATCAGCCCCAACTGTAGGGACGGCTCAGGTTACTAGCCGCCCCTACAGTGCCATCTGTAGGAGCGGCTAGGCTGCTGGGGCCCGAGGACGTCCACTGTAGGGGCGGCTCAATCACCAGCCGCCCCTATAGTAAAAATGTCCCTGTTCCTAATGTGAGAATCTGGCGTAGTGCCTGTCCCGTGCACAGTTCAAGAGTAAGGCAAAATCCGTGCAGCTACTTTTGTCTAGACTGTCGGGGATTACGACAAGAGGCTTTGTGCTCCCTCTGCCGAGGAAATCATCTATCTCATCGGATTTTACAGGTTTCCAAATGCTATCATGACTAATAAAACAACCATGCTCCTCTATTTACTCCCTTCATTGTATCTAACACCATGTAAATCATCACCTAGGTGCGAAAAGTATCATACAAAGAAGTGGTACGGATCCAAGTTATCATGGGATTGGTTGACATAACAGGAGTACAACAGCATTCCATCAACCAATCTCAGGTGGTACATCTGACCAGGAGGCCCACCAATGGACGTTCTCTCGTGGGATTCAAGCGTGGGCTTGAAATCTTCGAATGTCTATCGCGCAAACGGCGCCTAATGGGTGCGGCCTGGTTCTGCTCAGTCCAATGCAAGGTGAATTCATCGTTGTACCTTTTAATACAGACTAAGATCATTGCATGGTCACCAAATTTTTGTGGCACACCTCGTGATCGGGCTTTGATTTCCTGCATGCAGGTAGAGACGGAGGCACGTAGCACCCCGGATCCTACTGGAGATGCGGAAGGTATCGGCAAGTACCGTTCCTTGTGCGACATGTACCATGCTACTCGAGTTGTAAAGGAGAAGAAGCTACACGTGGAACCCAAGTGTTCTCTCAAGATAGGGCATGCTGCAGTCTCTAGCTGGTCACCTACGGTGCAAGATGCTACGCCATTTATGTGCTCAGTCAACAAGGAGGCTGCATTGCCCAAGATCCTACATGATGCTACCCCATCTATATGCTCACTCAATAAGGAGGCTGCATTGCCTAAGAGCCGACGCAAAGGGAGACCGACACGCACGCCATTCTACTGAGCCATGAACACCTTCTGAGGATCCAGTGGCATAAAACTGTCCAACTATATTTAGTTTCCTTCTACCGTATCTGTAATGTATATTATATGTACAGGACAACCCATCAGCTGTTATGAGGAGAGCCCCAGGGCACGTATATTGTGGGTATGTAATCCTAATGACGCACCATCCATGTCGTCCGGGCTTCGTTAAACAAGGTTCTAGCCGATGTTACATGCATTCTTTTTTCGTCTGAACTGTACAGTATGCCCTTCTTGCTCGCACGTGGCAGTGCAGTAAATCACCACAGGTGTCATCACGTTCAAGGCTTTCAGCTGCACGCATGCATCACGTACTATCATGCAAGCGCCACCAATTCGTCACAGCATTCATCACGTTCCAGCCTTTCAGCTGCATGCATGCATGTGTCATCGCTACTTTCAGCAGGCACTGCTTGCACGCATTCATCGCATCTAAGCCTTCCTATGCACCGATGGCTCCAGAGTTGTGCTGTGTTTTTTTGGCGACCAGCATCCATGCACGGTGCCCTTCCTTTTTCCCAGCCGAGAGCATAAGCTAGCACTGAAGAGGTGAGTTCCAAGAGCCCGACGGATGCATCAAGCGCACCCTGGCATGCAACTACGCAAACAGCTGACACGTTGGTGAACGGCACGCTGACCGACTCGACGCTCGGGAACGGAGACGGAAAGTACGTGATTCTCTGCAAGAAGGAACGATGACGAGCAGGGATGTACGTGCCGACGAATCCAGCCACGCTCTACAAAAGCCCCGATGCTCAGAAATGGAGTCGGAAAGCACATGATTCTCTCCGAGAACGAACGATAGAACAAGATACTATGGACGCACGTACGGATTATCTGATTATTAAGTGTTTTTTTGTCTCCTGGAGACAACTCCTTAGGTTCCAGGCTAAGTGCCACGTACTGTGCATGTCCAATGTAAATTTCCCCTATTTCTACCAAGTTTGCGTACAAGTTCACATCATCTACTGCCTACCGCTAATCTAATAAAACTATCTCCAAGGTGCATTATGTCTTTTATCTATACCTAGATGACGGTACGTTGTTTCAGAGGAACCTGGCCAACTGGGTACTGCAAAAAGTTGCTCCTATACCAAAGGAAAGACGAATCTCAACCAGAAGCACGTGGGTACCATATAGCAACGGAACGTCAAATATATCCATTCAAAACGATAACCATGACCGTACAAACTATCTCGGAATACAATATCTTACATGGTAGTAGCAACGTGGCACGATGCCAGTTCAGCCAACAGAAATGGCCTAATACATATGTTACACTGGAACAGGTAGACATACATAGGATCTTATTGAATAAACTGATGTAGCAGAGTCTGGAGTACGGAGTACATGATCCTTTAAGGAACACAAAAGGCTAACACAGACGGGCACATATCGAAGCATAAGTGCAACAGGTACTATTTATTGCTCCATGTGCATATATTGCTGGTTATTACGACAACCACATGTGTGGTCTAGACAGGAGGCGTCGCGGCGGCAGGTTGATGGTGCAACACCCGGATGCAGGCCTACTCGTTACTGGGAAATTAAGAAAAAAGGGCAATCATTTAATTGTTCAAGGTGAACAGGAACCCAACACAATAGAGTAATGTACCTTGCCTTCTCCTTTGAGAAGGATAGTTCCTTCCGAGCAGATCTTGATCTTTTGCCCAGATGGCTCCAGCATCGCACAAATACATCATCAGCAAGCTCAATCCCACATTTACAGCATAATTATTTCATTCATTATGGAACCTATATACCATGGAATTGGGAACCTATATACCATGGAATTGGGTATCATCTTTAATTAGAATACAAAGTAGCACGCAAAAGCGGTAGGTGATTATATCGAGACGAAAGGTGCATACCCAGTATCCTCACGAGCCCTAGAGGGCACCTCCTTTTCCTTTGCTAAGTTTTTGTCATCAGCAACTAGAACAGCCTCTTGAAGTGGAGTGGAGACGCTTTCTACATAGGTGGGGGTCTTAGCCAAGGTGGAGTCGGCAGCCTCGTTTTCTTTAACAGAGGTAGTATCTGTTGTCTCAATCGTTGTCTTAACACTAGGATCCTTTGGTAGGGTTGAAGTTTTACTCGGCGATGGACCCAGCGGAGAGCCACCAATAGGAGCACGAGGACCACCACGTTGACCATCAGCGTCCATTGGAGACGCAAACACCCTCCTAGCCAAGAAAGTCAGCTGTCCAGTCCTGAATGTCTGCTCACTGATAACCACCTGGAACACATAGCTCCGGCCAACAAGACTACAGAGGGGAGCAGGAAGCAGAATCTGATTAGATGAGCTTTCTTCCACAAGGTCAGCAGCAGTGCGCCGGACAACCTTCTCTGCCACACCACCGAATAGAAATATTTTGACGCGACCAGTACCATCCTCGATCACCACACTTAGCTTGTAGCTGTGTTTGCAGGGAAAACAATTACTAAGATCTGCTGACAGGCCTGGATACTGGAAGGGAACCAATGGCAAGCAAGGGATACCTAGGGATGACCGTTGGCTGCGACTCATCACAGTTAGTACACTCGAAGCCATCAAAAGTTGGCTTTAGCCCTCTTTTGCATGTAGCGCATCCCTTGTACCGCCATCCATTCGAAACGTCGATTTCCCGTAACCTTGCATCACAAGTAAAGCGTACGCCCTAGAACATAACAGAGGTTAAACTCCTCCACCATGCAACAATAGGCACAAATAAGATGAGTCGATAGGAAGGAAGCACATTATTCTCATGAGGATCCAATGAGAGGAGCTCCAACACAGTCTTCCTATTTGAACCTGGGTCGTCGATAGTACCGGCTTCAGATGCACCATCTCCTGGTAGGAGCACGACCTCGGAACCTCTCCCCTGTAGACTGAGGACACGACAAACTACGTGAGCACACCCACACAGGCGTGTGTATGGATAACTTAACAAGGGAAAAAGGTTTTGTAACATGTTACCTAGCACGGAAAGCATTGGCCTCAGGTATGTCAATGTTCATGTACCATTTTGTTGCATCACCACTCCCACATGTTGGATTACCTAGGTCAATATTTAAACGGATAGATCAGGATGCATGATGGGCATAGTATTTAGTATTGAGGAACACGATGCTAACACTCACCCAAGTATTGCCTCACATGCATTCCAGCAAAAACGATTACGACTGGTTCATCTTTACCGGCAGTTTCAGCTAGGAACTCATCCTCAAAGGTTGTGGCATGCTCAGCCCACAAGGTTACTTGCAAAAGCTGGTCACTGTAGCATGGTGAAGGGTTATGAAAACAATAATAATTACCAACAAATGTATAAACAAATTCGGAAACCAACCTTAAATCACGTAGGTCCACCAAGCGCCTGACAGACGTCCCATTTAGACCACTGGACTGTATGACTGGATGGACGACCGTAAGCTGTCCGATAACATCTATAGAAAATTCCATCAACATTACATCGCCAGAGAGGATACAGAAATCTGGACCATGAGGCTCAGCACGTACCTACTAAACCATGGGCACCATGCCTACCTCTTGCCATGCGATCTAAGTCCTCAAAGTCGACAAAATTAAAAACATAGAGTGGAAGATTGTTGGATAGCTCCACAGGGACGTCCTCAATGATAGTCCATGGCGTAAAAAAGATTGTGTGTGTGTTGGGCACGGCATTGTACTTCCTTCCTTGCTTGCTAACTTGAAATTTTTTTATCATGTATGAATGCCCTTCCACTAGAGCATCGGCGAACTTGTTAACGTCCTTCTGGGCAATGCAGGCTGTAATGCCTACACCCTGATGCACAGAGATTCAAAGGTCCATACTAACCATGGAGTAAAACAATATAGGCACACGTGTCAGGTAGTCACCTGTTCGTCAACCAGAGCAAGCTCCATGGCAGTAGCACCATTTCCCTTAGAAGTCCTAGATGAGTGCCACACCCTAGCAACTCTAACCTTGATGCACCAATTGTGCCTTGTTGGATTAATATGGGATAGCAAGCTGTACTCCATCTGGCAACAGGCGAGCATGGGAAGGGGAGCAGGAGTCAAATGAAGCACAAAAAAACGAGGAAAATACAACAAACAATTGCGGGGGTGTATGGGTGACATGGAAGATGCCATAACAATTTGAGCAAGTATGGAACACACATGGCAGTAGAAGAAACAGTACCATAGGGCTTAGAGGATTTCTCTGTAAACAATGTTCTCAGTGAGGTTGGAGTCTGGATCGCTGTCATCATCAATCAGAACCCTAAGTCCATCTCTAGATGTAACACGCGATATAGCAACATAGAGCTGTCCATGAGAAAACACTGGACGGGGCAAGTATAGGCCAACACTATGCAAAGTCTGTCCCTGGCTCTTATTTATAGTCATTGCATAACACAGTCGCACTGGGAATTGACGTCTGCTAAGTACAAATGGCCATTTAGTGCTAGATACGTGCAAGGAAATTCGAGGAAGGAGGACCTTATCACCAATATGCGAACCAGTTATTATTTGAGCTTCCAACACACGATCTCCTAGCTGTGTTATTATAAGACGTGTACCATTGCAGAGGCCAGCACTCTGGTTTAAATTGCGCACAAGCATTACGGGGGAACCAATCTTTAGAATAAGCTTATGGGGGGGATTCCTTTAAATTGCAGAGAATTTAGGAACTCGACGGGATAAAGCAGGTCCAAGTTGCCATGCTCCTTTGACGAATCAACCAAACTATCTGAGCTGAGGTATATCCTTTCATGGCCTGGGATTAAGGAAAGCACATGGGTATTAATTTCATCAATGGTGTCATTTTTTGGAGCAACAATAGCCTGTTCCCTTAGATATACTGGGTCAGAATATGAGGTCTCTAGGTTAGGGTAAGTAGATCTCACAATGTCATCAACAGCAGAACCAATCCTTGGAACCAGTATATCACGTGGTATCTCGATAAGGTCAGAACCTTCATCTTCATTATGGGCAGTACCTTCTGCAGTTCCATCACCAATGCTCAACACCCAATCATTGAACGATTTGATTTGTTCAGTTGGTAACCCAGCACTCGCCATCCCAAGCAGACGCATATTGATTGTAAGCCTCAGGATCCTAACATGGCTCCATAGGTAGGAGTTAGTAATGGATGCATCAACCGTATCTAATCTAGTACCACCCTCAACTACAGGCATCACTTGGCGGAAATCTCCACCCAGCAACACAGTTTTCCCACCAAACACCCTATGGAAACTAGAAGAGTCTATCTGGCCAAGGATGTCATGCATGGTACGGTCTAAGGATTCAAAACAATGCCGGTGAGTCATGGGGGCCTCATCCCATATAATCAAAGAGCTCTGCACAATTAAGTCAGCAAGAAAAGATCCCCTTTTAATATTGCACATGGACGACTCATCAATAACTATAGGAATTTTAAAATGAGAATGCGCAGTACGGCCTCCAGGGAGCAAGAGTGAAGCGACACCAGAAGATGCTACAACTAGGACAATATGTGTTATGACCGGTAAGGTCTATAGGCGTAGACAACGGGCTAGGAGTCCGGCTTAGCCGGCCAGTTGGCTACGAGTCCGGCCTAGCTGGACTGTTGGTTATCAAGTCCTAGAATATAGGATGTTTATCTCTTAGAGTTTGTTATTTGATTAAATTAGGTTTGAGTCGGTTGGACATCTCTTTGTATAAGTACTAAACAATTATAATAGAAGGATCAGCCTGAGATTGAGTTTATCTCACCTTGGGCCCTCGGGTGTTACTGTTCACGGTCTCTCCGCTGCCGCCGATTCCCCAGCCATCTACAGCCAGCCGCCGAGCACGGCACCTCCAGTCCATCGCCGGGGTTCAAAGCCCAGGCCTCCGATCTTCCACACCTACGCTCTCTGGTCCCTAAGCCACAACAATTTGGTATCAGAGACCATGGCTTCCTCGGGTGCTCCTGCCGCCGCCGCTACGTCGTCGGTTGCTGTTGTCGCCGCGACGAGCGCCCCTCCACCGCCCCCACACCGCCTACTCTTGAGGACTCCCTGGCCGCCTTGGCAGCCATGCAGCGGCAGATGGGAAACATGTTCGAAGGCATACAGCGGCAGATGGTGGAGATGTCTCTGCGCTTGGCGACTGTCGAAGGCCAGCCGGGCCCTTTGATGACACCACGTCTGCCGTACTCAACCCTGCCGCTACTACAATATGGCATGCCGGGGTATGGGGGTTTTCCAGCGTCAGCGTCATAGCCGGTCGTCTCGGAGATCCTGTCCTCGCCGTCAATGACAGGGTCCACGGCGCTGCGCCTAGAGACCGCACCTCCTCGCGTCACCTCACAGCCAGCTACGACAGGGCTGCCCATTCAGTCGATCCCTTTTCTGGCATCTCCATCACCGGTACCATCGCTGTCCTCCATCATGCACGGGCCGATCTACTCGTCTGCTACGATGGTGCATGAACCGCGCCATCAACCTGAGGAACATGGAGACAGCCAGGGCGTTCCCAGGTTCCATAAGCTATCCTTCCCCACTTACGACAGCAAAGAAGACCGGCTCGGATGGCTCAACCGTTGTGAGTCCTTCCACAGCCAGCGGACATGTGAGGCGGACAAGGTTTGGCTCGCCTCCTTCCACATGACGGCATCCACACAGCAATGGTACTATGTGTTGGAACGAGACTCCGGCCGGCCGTCCTGGTCCAACTTTCGTCTGCTCTGCCACCAACACTTCGGACCGGCGTTGTCCACCAACCATCTTGCTGATCTCACCCACCTACCATTCGGTTCCTCGGTTGATGCATACATGGACGCCTTCCAGGCACACTTGGCGCACGCGGGGCATCTGGCGCCGCTACAACAAGCACAGCTGTTCACCGGAGGACTTCCGGAGTACATCAGGGTCGACGTGGAGCTCCATGACCCTCAGGATTTACACCGCGCCATGCGCTTGGCTCGGGCTTATGAGCGTCGTCAGGCGTCAGCAACCCTCGCACTTCCAGCACCACCAAGTTGACATTCTCGGCGTGTTCTGGCTGTACAGAGTGCATTACCGGCCACAGGGGCCGCCCTGCCATCATCACCAGCCTCGGCGTCCCCACCAGGCCGACCTTTCAAACGGCTCACACCAGCAGAGATGGCAGACCGCCGCAAGTTGGGCTTGTGTTATAATTGTGACGAACCATATGTGCAGGGACACAAGTGTCAGCGGCTGTTTTACCTTGAAGTCACAGATTATCTTGTGGAGGAGCCAGAGTCCGATGACGATGAACAGACGTCAGCAGCCGGCACAGACAAACCCACCATATCATTATCAGCCATTGCAGGCATCAGGACTGAGGATACTATGCAGATTTATGTCCAGGTGAGCAACGTACAGTGTGTGGCGTTGCTGGATTCGGGCTCTACTCACACATTCATCAGCGGCAGCGTCGCACGACGCGTTGGCATCCACTTTGAACCATGCCCAGGTGCCGGAGTCATGGTCGCAAATGGTGACCGCGTAGCCTGCCGGGGGCTCGCGCGCGACGTCGGCATACGAATTGCCGAAGAAGTATTCTCAGTCGACTGCTATACCATCCCATTGGATCACTAGGACATGGTGCTCGGGGTCAACTTCTTGCGCACCCTCGGACCGATATTGTGGGACTTTGATGACTTGTGCATGGCATTCACCAGGGCAGGTCGGCACGTGTTCTGGCGAGGTATCGGCTCCACCTGAGATGACGTTCAGTCCACTCGCCGCCTCCATGCTATTCACGACGCGGGCCGTACCACCGGAACAGCATTGCTTGACAAGCTACTCGCCTCCTTTGAAGATGTGTTCGCCACGCCCGAAGGCTTGCCCCCTGCTCGCGCCTGTGATCACCGCATTCACCTAGTGCCCACTGCGATACCAGTGGCTGTGAGGCCTTACCGCTACCCACAACTACAGAAAGACGAACTGGAATCCCAATGCGCCGCTATGCTGCAAATGGGGATGATCCGTCCAAGTACTTCAGCTTTCTCTGCTCCTGTTTTGTTGGTCAAGAAACATGATGGCTCTTGGAGGTTCTGTGTCGATTATCGTGCCTTGAACAAGCCCACTGTTAAAGACAAATTCCCAATTCTAGTGGTCGAAGAACTACTAGATGAGCTCCATGGGGCACGGTTTTTCTCCAAACTGGACTTGCGTTCAGGGTACCATCAAATTCGTATGCATACTGATGACATTGAGAAGACGGCCTTTTGAACTCATGAGGGTCACTTCGAGTTCTTAGTCATGCCCTTCGGGCTGTCCAATGCACCGGCAACGTTCCAAAGCCTCATGAACACAGTGCTCCGGCCGTTCCTGTGTAAGTTTGTACTTGTGTTTTTCGACGACATCTTGATCTATAGTCCATCTTGGTCCACACATCTGCAGCACCTCAACGTAGTCTTCACTGCCCTACGTGACCATCAACTGCGATTGAAAAGATCTAAATGCGACTTTGCTACGACGTCGGTTCATTATCTGGGACATGTAATATCTGTGGATGGGGTTGCAATGGATCAGGAGAAGGTTGCGGCCGTCGCTACCTGGCCTCAACCTAGCAATGTCCGTGCTCTTCAGGGGTTTCTTAGCCTCGCTGGGTACTATCATCGGTTCATTCAAGATTACGGCTCGGTGGCTGCACCGTTAACGGCGCTGCTCAAGAAAGAGGCTTTTCTGTGGTCATCTGCAGCCATCGACTCTTTCAATACCCTCAAGAAGGCCCTGTCCAGTGCACTGGTTCATCAACTTCCTGATTGGGACAAATCATTCATCGTCGATTGTGATGCCTCTGGCTCTGGATTCGGCGTAGTACTTCATCAAGGCGGAGGTGCCTTGGCGTTCTTCAGTAGACCCTTCGCAGCTCGGCACCACAAGTTAGCCGCATATGAGAGGGAGCTCATCGGCCTTGTCCAAGCAGTTCGGCACTGGCGTCCGTATTTATGGGGCAGGCAGTTTATTGTGCGCACAGACCATTATGCGTTGAAGTTCTTGTTGGATCAACGGCTCTCTACAGTTCCCTGTAACACCCCGGTGTTATGACCAGCATTTAGGCACAGCAAATCATATATATCATGCATCATCAAACATCCTAATCATGCATGCCTAATCATGTAAATAATAACTAAAACCCTGCTTCGAAACATACGAAACATGCTCGTGAAACATGAATGTTGCATACACTTGTTTAGAGTTGTGTTTGCCCAAATTATGCTTGCTAGGTTAGTAAAACATGTTTGGCTATGATTGTAAATCATCTAGAATTATTTAGCGCAATTTTTGGAGCAAAGTTTGTATTCAAATTATTACCAAATTTTACTTTAAAAATAATTCTCCAAAAATTAGAGTTTTCAGTTAAAATTGACTTTAATTTTTTAATTCAAAATCTATCAAGAATTGGACTTTAGTCATAAAAGCAAAGTTGTAGAGAATTAAATTCTAAGCAACTTTCATTTTTGGGACATTTCAAAAGATGTCATTTTCTTGCTCAAAATGATATTTGAAAACTGGTATTTAAAAATTTCTTTAAAATGGAAATTGAGAAAAATGATTTCTCCTTTCACGGGCCGCCGCCTCCTTTCTCGGCTCACGGCGGGCCAAGCTCGGCTTTGCTTGCTTGCCCATTGTCCGCCCCATTTACCCACCTCACGGCTTTGGCTTTGCTTCATGCACACCATGCCCGTTCCGCGTCTTGGCGTCCAAACCAGCCAGAGAGCTCGACCATGGCGTGGCGACCATGCGCACCGGCGCTGCATGTAGGCACCATGCTCTCTGCCCCACCGCCGCTTTCGCGCCTTCTTACAACAAGGCCCCACTCCACTCCCTCACTCACTCACTCCTCGCGACATCAGCAGAAGAAGCAGGCAGCTCCAGCGGCGCCATGAGCTCCGCCACCAGCTCCCTCGCGGATTTGGCTCGCCCGCCACCACAGCTCGCCGGCGACCACTCCGTCTCGCCAAGAGCTCACCACCACCCGCACAGACCCCTGTGCTCGCGTTATTTCGCCGTGGTAAGCATCCTTCCTTGGGAATTGCTCGCCGGAGCACGACCGAGCTCACTGGTGAGCTCCGCTCCCGTGGACTCCCCCTCTCCGCTTCCCTTCCCGCCTTTCCTTCGCACGCACAAGCACCACACCGCGACATTGAGTCTCCCGAGCGCCTCCTTTCGCCCATACTGCGGTAGTCGGAGACGCTCCATCGGCGACGACCAGCCGCCGCCCGCCATTGCATTGCCGTCGGCCGAGCCTCTCTCCCATGAACCGCCTCTCCTATTCACCTCTATCCAACGCGGTTTGTCATGGGGAGCACGTTGGTGTCCTCCATTTTGTT